CAGGATAAGTGACTTGATGTCTTGCATCTGAGTGTGCTCTCTCTCCTTTGCTGCCAGCTGCTGTGAACGTTACTGAAAACTAATTTGATTAACTGATTTTCAGAGTGATTTGTACCATAATGCCTTTCTCTTTTTCCCTTTCCTAAAGCAACTTGTAATTGTGCTGATTGGAGAATCTCAGGGCAGGGATTTCACATTTTGGATTATACGCTTAATTCCTTGAGCACTTTTTCCCCAAGAGCAGCAGCTGCCTGTTGTAGTTTTCCATTTATTAATTGAATCCTGGATATGTGCACGCACACAAGCTAGTCTGCAAGATAAGGATCAGTACAAAGCTTTTCTCCCGCAGAAGGATTATTTGGCCTTCCCTTACCTGGTTAAATCTTAAACACTAGTCTCTTCCCTTTTTTATGATCCGCACCACATCTTTTTGTCCACTTAACGCTAGCTCTGAGAGAAAAGGAATCCAAGGAAGCAGTGTTGAGAAAGAAATTAAAGTGATTGTGATAGGCAAAGGATTTGTTAAAAAATAATCGAGCTGCTGGTCCAGTCCGGAGGCCTGTTGCTGCCTGGCTCAGAGAGTGCCGCTCGGAGTCCTCCCATAGCTACCCGCTGCAGCTAGCCCCTCAGCGCATGGACGTCGGAGCAGGGGCCTTTCCTCTCTGCTGGTGTTCAGCTTACGCCCTGCAGCATGTGCTTTGACTCTAGTAGCATTTACACATAGATTTGACCACTAATAACAAATGTAGTTGTATGTTGTAGCTGTTAATACAAAGCCTCTGTTTCTAATCAGTGCATGGTATTCTAGTGCATGCTATGTGTTGTTGTCCCTCCGCCCCTTTTATTTACAGTGAACAGCCTCAGGTTTGTTTGCATCTCCACACTGTTTTGATGTAAGAAAAAAAAATAATCTCCAAACGTTTCTAGTTGCTGATAGCCCGACTCCTCCCCCACCACCGCCTCCGGATGAGATGCCGATGTTCGATGACTCTCCTCCTCCTCCACCCCCACCCCCCGTGGATTATGAGGACGAGGAGGCTGCTGTGGTGCAGTACAGCGATCCCTATGCAGATGGAGATCCTGCTTGGGCACCTAAAAACTATATAGAGAAAGGTAAGAGAAGCGTTGCCACTCTGTGTTACTGCAGTATCAGAGGATTAGTGGTAGCCGAAGGGAATGAAGGACTTGGCTTGGGTCTGATGAAAACAATCATTGTCCCTGCTACGTCAGAACTCGAACCATTCTTTTCTTTGTGGCTACACCTAACGTGATAAAATATAATCCTTCTTTGGAAGTATTATAAAATACCTTCAAGCATTCTAGAATGGATAAAAAAAAAATCCTTCGTTATGAGAAGCAGATGTAAATTGGATGGCTTTCATCTTTACTAAGCTGGACTGTGTAGCTACCTCAGGATTGCTGGGCCATCATCTAGAAATAGTGTTGCAAAAAGGCCAGAAAGTCCAAGCTCTATTTATCCCATCAAACTAGATAGCTAGAGCAGATCATTAGACTTTCAACTATCAAATGTAGTGAGGCTTCCTTGGAGACTTACCAGTGACTCTAGATCAGCAGACTATAAATTGCTTAGGTATGAACTCACACAGTGAATGTCTCTTCCCATGAATAATTGAGATGCTGATTTCCTGCCTGTGGAGTTGTCCGTGTTCTGACAACGACCAGTTTGTCAACAGCAACGCTGCAAGTTTTCTCGTGATCTGGCTGGTACTGCAGCGCGTACGAGATGGGGTACCCGGCTTGGCAGAACTGCCATGTCCCATTTTCACTCCTACCTGGACTGTGTGCAGGACGTACCCACGGGATGAAAATAACTTGATACACTGCATCATTATTTGCTAGGCATTAATTTCTGATAAAATATATATGTAAAATAGTAGGTTCTTGGAATTCATAAAACTGATCAATTGCATAAATCCATGTTAACTCTTTTGAAGGGTAAGGCGGAGATGTCCAAAGTTTGTGTATGCATAGTGGTAGTTTTTAATTCCAGTATTATTGGTGGCAACATTTACTTTCCTTGGGGAGATTTCTGCTCTGTTAATTGCATGCAATGAGTTGGAGGTTGGCAAGAGTAACATATTCACCAAGCAGGGACTGAAAAATAGCTGATGTTGCTGTGAATTTGCTTCTGCTTTTTCCTACAGTAACTTTTATACTTGCACTCATTGCCGCGCCTTGAAAAGTAATGCCGAAACTTCTCATCCCATAGACGCTCTGTAGCAAAGACCATCCCTTCCCGTACAGTGGCTTTAAGCAGCTGTGTTTGCAGGATCATACACTGAAGCACGGGCTGTATAGCTGCAGGGGCCATAGTGTAGAATTTTTTGTCTGTTGGTCCATTTCTACAGAATGATTTAAAAAAAAAAATTATTTTTTTTTAAGGCTTTCTCTAATCAAGAGATCCCCATACAGGGATCCATATGCTTTTGAGGTAATCTGACCAGAAATGACCGCCACACTCATGGAGCCGGTTATTTCATAGTTCAGCTTTTAAGTGTCCATATGCTCCGCTTTACTGTGTCGCCGTCGACTGTGCCTCTCTGTCAATAGTTTAACTGAGTGTTCAGTGTAGTCACCACCCACATCTTACTGGTAGCTAATGTTGCAGGAAAAGTGAAGTTTCATTTTCTGGACTTAATGTTCAACCGGGAAAGCATGTGAATTCATTATGGAAAATTCCAGGATAGCAAACTAGTCCTTCAGAAAATAATTGTACTTCAAAAAATGTTAATACCAGTGCTATTAATAAAATGCTAAACGTGTCCTCGTTCAATCCACAGTTGTTGCTATATATGACTATACAAAGGACAAAGACGACGAGCTGTCGTTCATGGAGGGTGCAATCATTTATGTGATAAAGAAGAATGATGACGGCTGGTATGAAGGAGTTTGCAATCGAGTAACTGGCTTGTTTCCTGGGAATTATGTTGAATCAATCATGCACTATGCCGATTAAAATCCTTTGCTTTTCAAAGTTGGGTCTTGTATTCAGTCATACCATGATTATTTACAAGGGGTAACTAAAAGCTAACAGAATTGTCTTAATATACTTTCAAAAGAAAAAAAATGTGCCCATTTCTTCAGGCCATACTGTTTTAATGGTATGATTGAATGTCCATCTCGCTAAGTCTCTGGAGACAGTATGTCTTACCTGATGGCAATTTGTAAAACAAGCAACTGTCTATAACTGGTTATACTTATTTACTTATGCATTGTTAATTTTATGACCAGCCTAAATATTCTGGGGAAGTAGGGTATAATATTTAATGAACCATGATCAGATTGTGCCATTACATTTTTCAGTACAGCATGGTAACTAACACTACGTTAGACTAACATATTAAAATCTGGATGAGAAGTTTAATGTTAGTGCTGGTCATATTACTTTTTGTTTAGACTCTTTGCTCATTCTTGAACTATATTTGTTTAAAGCATGCATACAAACTTATGTATTGAAATATACTTTTTTAAAAATCCAAGATGCTTCCAATTGTTGTAATCTTTACCTGGAGTATTCTCACTAAAGTCTATTACAATGAGTTGTTTGGGTCTAAGGTGTCCATGTGAATCAAAAAATGGGTGGTCTTATGTATGTGTAATTTGTACCCAAGTTTTTTTAATGAGTAAATTTACATTATGACTTTTTCCATTCATAAATATATAAGTGAACCAAAGGTCTTGTCCATTACTTTGTTGGTTGGCTTGGCAAAGAAGTTTGGAATACTAACTTAGCAAAATCGTGGCTGTGTTATCCCAGGCAATGTACTAAAAAGCAAATGTTTGTAATGTGACTTTATCACTGACAGAGGGCAAATAAATTAGATATGAAACCTGAATGACACATTTATACATACTCTTAGAAGTTCTTTTCTTCCAAAATTAATTTTAGTGAGGATTCTTGGTTGAATCTAGTTATCGAGATGCAGTAAGTTGGACACCCTCTGGAACTGACATTTCTCAGTGGAAATTGTATCTGGCTTGGTGCTGTGCCCAGCTGGGCAGACGGCAGCCTGTCCTCGAGATATGACAAAGGGGGAACAGACGTGACAGGAACTTGGCCATTGTGGTAAGGGATCACAGGCAGAGATAGTTAGAGATGATGTACGTCCCTGTTCTCCAAATTCTGTGGCTTAAATCACCTGAAAAGGAATGTGGTAGTACTGGATAATTAGTGTGAGAGGAATGTATCTGGGACTTCAAAGCAGAATTCTAGGAGGGTTTTGAATATACTCTGTAAATGAGCGATGGGGTTGAAGCTTTTACTGGCTGTTGAATCATTACTTTTCAGTGAGTTAGAAATACTGAGCGTTTCGTTTTCTTAACTGTAGCAATCTCAAATTCTGCATCTTGTTAACTGCTAGCAAGTAGCAACCAGTAGCAGACCTGTATTTCATTATGAATTGGAAAACTCCTTGATGATATAACCAATTAAAGTCTACATACAGTCTTTTATAATAAACCAATTTCCATATATACAATTCCAGGTACTTCTGTAGTTTAACAGTCAGGAAAGCATTCAAGCCATCTCTCTTCACAGGAGTTTACCAGGTAGTGACATGCATGCTCTGTTTATTAATGTGAACAAGTGATATTTGGAACAACTTCAGTTCTCATACATTGATTTATATTTATTCTCACTGTGTGTGCATCAACATGTAAACATCTTCCCCAGCCCCCGCAATTAATAGCCCCCACTAAAACAATTGTACAGCACAGTTTGATTTGCTCTGAATTGTATGGCTTCCCACAATAAAACACTTTAAACTTTTGTTTTTAAAAAAAAGTAGAACTTCCCCCCCCCCCCCCCAAAAAAAAAAAAACATTTTACAAAAAAATATTTTAGATCG